AAGACTTCCTTCCTTCCCATTTTTGTTTCTTTTCCCCTTTTATAACCCTAAAATATGTTAATGACAATTTTACAAGCCTTACTGGCCTCTGGAGACCTCTGCTCTCCCACTACTTCCAGAACCTCCATGAGGGCCCCACCCAACTGCATTTTAAAACAGAGCCTTTATATTCTGAACCACTTCTGGTAGATTCCTGGGTCTCCGAGCTTCTCCAGGTTACTGCCTTTAGTTGGAAGGGATTGGGGACATGTGCCTTGAGACTGTGCCTGAAGATACATGTGCACAAAGACGAGTTGTTGCTGTCCTTTTACTTTTGCTTTCATTAGAATACACTATCTGAAGAAGGGGACAGGAGGCCCAGGTATTCATTCTCCACTTGATGGAGCATTAGGCCGAGAGGCAGTGTTGCAAGTGTTAAAATTTTGAGCTTTGGCATCAGTCACACCTGCTTTCAAAGTCCATCATCACTCATTATTGACAAATCATATTTCTTTTCTGATTGTCAGTTGCCTCATTTGTAAAGTGAGCATGAAGATGCCTCCCTCCTATGGTACTGTGAGTTTGGAATGAGGTAATGTATGCAAAGCTCATAACATAGACCTTGACACCTTGACACTTGAAGGACAACCAGCTTTCCCAGGGTTGCCTCTTGAGTTGTTCTGTGGAAAGCAATTTGTGTATGTGGGAGCCCAAATTCAGAGCAAGATAGATTACTCCTGAATCTTAACTCTTGTACAGATGAACTGTGTGATTTTTAGGCAGGTAACTTTGTCCTTGATGTATGTATGTCTTTATGTCTTTGTTTTATTATCTAGTCGGTTAATTATCCTCCCCTATGAATATGCCATGATGACGATTATATGCCGCTCTGTATACATATCTTCTAGGTACATAGTAGATTGCTTAATGATGTCTCTCGAATGACTAGATGTGTAATATTCTTACTGCATAAAGCATGTGAGCAAGTGGCATTTCCGTATGCCAAATGCCATTTCAAATCCCTACCTGAGGAAATTACATAATAAATCCATTGCGAATTGAATAGCGTTTTCCTCTAATGTATGCTTTTCTTTTCCTCAGGTGGAATTTTTGAACAGGTAATGGGTTGGTGTGGTGCTTGTTTCAAAGGATACAAAGCATTTGTAGAGGAAAATAGCCCCCTTTCTCCCTATTCTTCAGCTACTTAATTCTCTACCCAGGACAACTGCTTTTACCAGATTCTTGAGCCTCCTCCTGAAAGAAGTCTATTATTTAGACACCTGAAGCCCCGTCCATTAAAGAACCCTCACAATCAAAGTTTCTGCTCCTCCTTGCCCACGCACACACCCCCAAGGCACTCTGAAGCGCTCTCCTCCTTGAGCCTCTTCTGCAGCACAAAGAGTTTTTCAATCCTTATGTCCTTCTCTTTTCATTCACCATGCTTTACTAACAATTACAAACTGCTGAAAGCATAAGGTTAAGAATAACAGTGACGGGCCTGAGCACTGGTCCACGGGCTGAGCGCTGCCCACCGCGTGCTCTGACCTCTACTGGCTGTGGCCCGCATAGGAGTGACCCCGGGAGACCCAGAGGCCATGCAATGGTAGCTATCCAGAACTGAAGGCATGCATTCAAACACCAATGGATGTGGGCAGACAGGCAGGTCTGACCACACCCTACCGAGGTCCTGGGTCGCACAGAACACGCCAAATCACCCCGCTGCAGACAGGCAGGTCTGCCCACGCCCTACCGAGGTCCCCAGTCGTGCAGAAGATGCCGAATCACCCCGCTGCAGACAGGCAGCCACCTGGTTCCACACTACAAAGACGCAGAGGACACCAGATCACCAGACCAAGGTGCTGAGTCCCGCTGCTCCCGGCCCAGAGGAATGGGCTTCCTGGTCACCATCCCTCCCGCTGCTCCCAGCCCACAGGAAAGGGCTTTTGGGTCACCATCCCTATGCTGCTCCCGGCCCCTGTCCCACCTCTCCCAGCTCAGAGGAGGTAATCCTTGCAGGCGCTAACAGCCCCCCGCCCCAGTCAAAATGAGAAAACACGTAAAGAAGTCTCAAAACCAGACTTCCAGATCACCT